TAGAACAGCGCTTTTAGAGCAGCAAGACTGTACTATCTTCTAGTATGCTGTTTTGGAAAATGTAGAGGGTGATGGACTGTCAGGGGAATGTAGCACTGACAGCCAGGTTACTGATACTGAGACTGGCTCTACTGTAATGAGAGGTATGTCAGGTTCCAAGCAATCGATTGTGATAGGGGACTCTCTAGTCAGAGGCATGGACAGATGTTCCTGTGGCTCATGACGAGACATCAGAACGGTGAGTTGCCTCTCTGGTGCCAGGGTCAAGGATATCTCAGAGAAGGTGCAGAATATTCTCAAAGGGGAGAGGGACCAGCAGGAGGTCGTTGGAATGAATCACATAGGAAGGGAAAAGGATGAGGTTCTGAGGAAACAATACAGGAAATTAGATCATAGAATCCGTACAGTGTGGAAACAGGCCCTTCAGCCCAACAAGTCCACAGCATCCCACCCAGACCCATTCCCCTGTAACCCACCTAATCTACACATCCCTGAATGCTGTGGGCAATTTAGCATGGACAATCCGCCTAGCCTGCACATCTTTGGACTGTGAGAGGAAACTAGAGCACCCGGAGGAAACCCATGCAGACACAAGGAGGATGTGCAAACTTCACACAGACAGTCACCCGAGGGCAGAATCAAACCCGAGTTCCTGGTGCTATGAGGCAGCAGTGCTAACCACTGAGCCACCATGCCGCCCCAAATTAGGAGGGGGTTAAAAAATAGGTCCTTGAGAGTAGTAATATCTAGACTACTCCTGGTGCCACTTGCCAGTGAGAATAGGAATAGGAGGATAGAGTAGATGAATGCGTGAGGAGCTGATACAGGGGAGAAGGATTCACATTTTTTGGATCATTGGAATTACTTCTGGGATAGAAGTGGCCTGTAAGAAGGACAGGTTGCACCTGAATTGGAAGGGGACTAATATACTGGCAGGGAGATTGTTCGAGCTGCTCAGGAGGATTTAACTAGTAAACAGGGAGGGGGGGAGCCCAGAGTGATAGTGAGAAAAGAGATCAGTCTGAGGCTGGTGCAGTTGAGAAAAAGAGCATTTCAAACAGTCAAGGCAGGCAGGAACAAAGCAGAGATGAGGTTGGACTGATTGATTAAACTGCATTTATTTCAGTGCAAGAGGCCTGACATGTAAGGCAGATGAACTCAGGGAATGGTTGGGAACATGGGACTGGATATCATAGCTATTACAGAGACGTGGCTCAGGGATGGACAGGACTGGCAACTTAATGTTCCAGGGTACAGAATGCAAGGATAGGGGAGAGGGGCAAGAGAGGTGGAGGAGTGGCATTTTTGAATAGGGATAACATTATGGCTGTATGTAGGGAAGATATTCCAGGGCGTATGTCCAAAGAAGTTATTTGGGTGGAATTGCGAAATAAGAAAGGGATGATCAACTTATTGGGATTGTATTATCGACACCCAATAGTCAGCGGGAAATTGAGAAGCAAATTTGTAAAGAGAACTCAGTTATCTGTATGAATTACAGGGTGGTAATGGTAGGGCATTTTAACTTTCCAAACATAGACTGGGATTGCCATAGTGTTAAGTGTGTACAGGAAAACTTGTTGATTTAGTATGTGGATGTACCTACTAGAGAAGGAGCAAAACCTGACCTTCTCTTGGGAAATAATGCAGGGCAAGTGACTGCGGTTTCAGTGGGGGAGCACTTTGGGGCCAGTAATCATAATCCTATTAACTTTAAAATAGTGATGGAAAATGATAGACCTGATTAAAAAGTTAAAGTCCTATATTGGAGGAAGGCCAATTTTGATAGTACGAGAAAAGAACTTTCAAGAGTTGATTGGCGACAGGTATTCACAGGTAAAGGGACAGTTGGAAGGTGGGAAGGTTTCAAAAATGAGATAACAAGAGTCCAGAGACAGTATGTTCCTTTTCAGGGTGAAGGGTAAGGCTGGTAGATATGGAGAATGCTGGATGACTAGAGAAATTGAGGCTTTGGTCAATAATAAAAAAAAACAACAACCATCATAAGAGAAAAAGTACAAGGGAAAATAACAGTCTAAAGACTGATAAGTCACCTGTACCTTATAGGATGCATCCTAGGATATCAAAGAAAGTAGCTACAGAGATAGTGGATAGTGTAGTAAACTTCCATGAATCCTTAGATTCTGGAAAATTCCCACAGCATGGAAAACTGCCAATGTAACACTTTTAGTTAACAAGGGAGAAAAGCAAAAGAAAAGTGCTTTTCGGTCACCACTTAATATCTGATTTTTGGAAAATTTTAGTGTTTATTACAAATTATGTAACAGTGGACCATTTGGAAATACGTAACATAATATAACATGATCCTAACCCTGCTAGCGCAGCTTCATGAAGAGGAAATCATGCCTGACAAATTTATTACAATTTTTTAAGGAAGGAATAAGCAAAAAAGACAAAAAGTGTAGCAGTGGATATATTTCATTTGGATTTCCAGAAGGTTTTTGATAAGGTACTGCAGAATAGGCTACTTATAAGAGCCCATGTTATTGGAGGTAGTATATTTGCATGGATAGAGGATTGTCGGACTAATAAAAAACAGAGTTGGGTAAAGGGAGCATTTTCAGGATGGCAACCTGTGACTAGTTAGGTGCTGCTGGGATCACTCGTAGAGCCACCATTATTTCCAATACACATTAATAACCTTTCTGAGGAAAGTGAATATACCGGAGTTTGCGGATGACACAAAAATAGACAGGAAGGCAAATGGTGAGGATGACACAAAGACCCAGAACAGAAATATCGACAGGTTAAGTGAGTGGGCAAAAAACTTTGCTGTGAAACCAAATGTGGTAAAATGCACAGAGGAACTGAATACTATATAAATGGAAATAACCTACAGAAATGTGTCACTGAAAGCAAGCATGCTGGTGCAACAAGCATTGAAGCATGTACATGCTATATTGGCTCTCATAGTGAGAGGATTTGAGAATAGGAACAGGAATGTCTTGCTGCAATTGTACAGGATTTGCTATAACCACACCTGGAGTACTGTGCACAGCTTTGTCAGGATGTGCTGGCTATGGAGGGAGTGCAACAAAGGCCTCCTATACTGATTCCTGGGAGAGCAAGCCGAACAGATGAAGAGAGACTGCACTGGTTAGGAATATGATCACTGCGGTTTGGAAGGGGTCAGAAGTCACAGGACACCAGGTTATAGGCCAACGGGTTTATTTGAAATCACAAGCTTTCGGAGTGCTGCTCCTTCGTCAGGTGAAGTGGAGGGAAGCACACAGGCACAGAATTTATATACAGATAATTTCAGGTAAATAAGAGTTTCAAAAGATAAATACAAAAGGCATGAGTATGACTGCTGACTTTGTCTAACTCAGTCCAAAACTGGCATCTCCACATCCTGTTTGGAAGCGTGAGAGATCTTATGGAAACCTGTAACAGGACTAGCCAGGGTAAATGCAGGAAGGATGTCCCCGATAATCATGGAGTCCAGAACCAAGGGTCACAGTCTAAGGATATGGGACAGCCATTTAGGACTAAGATGAGGAGAAATTTCTTCACCCAGAGAGTGGTGAAGCAGTTGAATTCTCTGCCACAGAAAGGTTGAGGCCAAAGCATTCAATGTTGTCAAGAATGAGTTAAATATAGATCTTAGGGCTAAAGGGATCACGGGTTATAGAGTAAAAGTGGGAACAGGGTACGAAGTAGGACAATAAGTCACAATCACATTGAATGGTGGAGCAGGTTCAAAGGACAAAATGGTCTAATGCTGTACCAATTTTCTATGTTTCTATAACAATTGTTGCTGATCTTCAATGACAAATCTATATGATGAGCAATCTAGTAACAGATCTTCAAATAAACAGGGATAGTAAAAACTGCCGATACTGGAGTCAGAGACAACACGGTGTGGAGCTGGAGGAACACAGCAGGCCAGGCAGCATCAGAGGAACAGGAAAGCTGACATTTCGGGTCAGGACCCTTCTTCAGAAATGGGGCCCGACCTGAAACGTCAGCTTTCAAATAAACAGCCCTGGTGTGTGATTGTTAAATTTGTGTCAGTAAACATAAAACCACCACATGATTAGGGGTGGTTTCTCTTTGACAACATGAGGGAAAAAGGCAGAGCCTCAGTCAAGATTTGAAGTAGCACAGAATCTATACATTGAAATCACAGAAGACAAAATCACTATACAATCTGCATTAGCTAGTTATTGACTACAACATTTGTGGACTGGCTGGTCAGGAGCTTTTGCAAGCAGCAAGCTTTTTGAAAATTGAGCTGTAAAATCTACATCAGGGTCAAGATGTCCTCATAGAATCCCTACAGTGTGGAAACAGGCCCTTTGGCCCAACAAGTCCACAGCATCCCACCCAGACCCATCACCCTATAACCCACCTAATCTGCACATCCCTGAACACAATGGGCAATTTAGCATGGCCAATCCACCTTGTCTGCACATCTTTGGACTGTGGGAAGAAATTGGAGCAAACTCAAGCAGACACGGGGAGAATGTGCAAACTCCACACAGACAGTCGCCCAATTGAACCCGGGTCCCTGGCACTGTGAAGCAGCAGTGCTAACCACTGAGCCACCATGCCGCCCCAAGGTGCTGCAATGATGAAAATATATTCCATGCTGTAGCACATTTTCATCTTTCATTTGTTTTTTGGCATGGAGTGAAGACAGATTTATGTTGCATTACCATTTTGACTTGCTGTTCCCAAATTTTAAGGTTGTCCCTCAAAGTTGGCTTATTCATATACATGGCATTGTTTAGTAAAAGAAAGATTGCAACTCTCTACATTATGTTAATACTCCCTATCATTGTAGTGGGGAAGTGGCCGGATGGAGTCAGAACAATAACATAGATTCTTCATTTACACTCTTATTCCAGAAGCAAACTATACAACAAATGGGGTTAACTGAATGTGATGAGTCACAAAAAAGTAATGATCATGAACTATATAAATAATTATAGTTATCAATTAGGTCTTTCAGTATATATAGGCAAATGTTTTTACTATTAGCTTTGATTCTCTATATTCACTTGGGGAATTGGGAGACCCAATTTTCTTTCAACCCACTTTTCTAAAAAAGGCAAAAAGAAACATTATTTTAAATTTACGCAATTTTGCTTGAATTATTTGTTGCTGAGTACTAACTTAAACTATTATTCTAGTTTTCTGTGTTGAGAGAGTGTTTGCTTGTCGTTTGTTTGTTTTTTGGCCAAAAACATTTTTACACTTACTAACACCTGAGCCTTTGTGTTGTGAAGTACAGGATGTCTGTGTGACATCCATATGCTGGAAAATGCTGTGAATGGTAGGAAAGGTCTGCACTCAAGAGGCTGGGTATGATGTAATGTTTTCTGTATTATTGTCACATTGTTTTAGGATTTTATCAGACTACCACAGCACTTCCGACAGGCAGGAAGACTTTTCTTTCAAGAAATATGCTGTGATTTGCTCCTGATGTAATTCATATCATGAATAATTCCTACTGTGAATTTAATATTTGCTTTCCATCTCATTTAATAGAGAAAAGATTTGAATTCGCAATCATTTTGACTTTGTGCCAACCACAGTGTTTTGGAAAACTGTCCGAGCACTTATCACTTCGATTATGTAAATAAAGATTGTAAAAAAGCCACACGCTTTTCTAATATCATGTAGTCAGTCGCCTGAATCGCTGGATTGCGATGCAGAATAACACCAACAGTGTGGTTTCAGTTCCTGCATCAGCTGAAGAACTTCCCTTCTCATCCTCTTCCCCTGGCCTGAGGTGTGATGACCCTCGGGTTCAATCACCATCAGTTGTCTCTGTCTAATAAGAGAACAGCCTTATGGTCTGGTAAGACTATTGCAACTTTTCCTTTCCTTCTATGGACATTGCATTTGGTCTTTTAGCTGTGCAATGGAGCAACATGGAATTGAGCCATTTACTCTTCATTTCTGGCATAGGATTTATAATCCTGATCATGCTGTGGTGAAGGGTGCGAATCCTTTTTTGATTTTGAGAAAAGTTCAAAGTGCAGGTCTGAAGAAAGATCCCAACCCAGGACATCGGCTTTCCTGTTCCTCTGCTGCCTGGCCTGCTGTGTTCCTCCAGCTCCACACTTACCTTTTTCCAAATTTTCCTCTTTTTGAGGTGATTCTTTTAATACTTATCTTCCCTTTCCAGTATGGGTCAACTTTGCAAATGTTACTTTTTTTTCCCCACTGTGGTATCTCTATTCTTTTACAATTTTTTTTGTAGAAAGAGAAGATCATGTTTTATTGAGCTGGCATAGCTTTTAAAGAAATGTCCAAAGCAGATCTTGCATGCATCCCAACAATAAATTAGGTGTTTTAGTTGTTGAACTGAATTCCTGAGCACTTCACTGTCCTTGAAAGGAGGTTTTATTTCTTCAATTATACAGAACTGTGCTGAGTGCATTGTGCACATGTGGACTACAGCCTGGGAGCCAAAAAATCCTTATGCTGAAAATACTTCATCTTAGTTAAAGTCAGGTGGTTCAAATTCTGTACTTGATCCAAATACATACCAAAGGCTTCATGTGTGAGTACTGTAAAATAGAGGTCGATGCGGAATTCTGTTTGATTCTTAAGAACAGCTTCTTCTCCGCCATTATCATTTATGAATGGACCTCTCAAATTTTAGAGTTGATCTTTCTCTGCACCTTTTTTGTCGCTGTAACACTATATTCTGCATTCTGTTCTAGTACCCTGATGTTCTTTGTGTAAGGTATGATTTGTTCGGTTCTCATGAAATATAATACTTTTCACTGTATCTTGGTACATGTGACAATAATACATCAAATAAAAAGAGATGGGTGCTCGTAATTCTGGATGTCCTCCGATGATGTTTCCATGCAGAATAAATAATGCATTGAATGGGAAAAAACCCTGGACATGGCCAGAAACAGAAAAACACTATTGCTAATCTCCCCACATAATAATGCTTATAAAAGACAGAGAAGATCAGCAAGGTAACTACCAAATGTGTTGGAAGGCCACAAATGTTCTATTTGAATTTTGGCTTTATAAACAAAGGATGGAGCTACACATTTTAGGTTTAGGCTTCACAGAACTGGATAAACAGGTGGTGAAAGTAAAGATACCCATGAAAATAAAGGATTGCACAAAGTCAGCATTTCTAGCCTGTCTCAGGAGGATCACACGGATCCTGCTAAGCTATGGAAGATGCTGGAGAATCAATTTAGTGTAAAAGTAAACTTCAGAATTAATTGTTTGGAGCTGATGCTTTACAGAGTCACCAACCATGTCAACACAAAGAACCTCTAAACCCTCTTGAGATTCCAACATAACCTTGGTCTAAAACTGCAACAGATTTAATTACTATACTTGTCAATGATTTTCTTCCAGTCATTATCAAGTTTATCAAGTTTCCAATCATGAGACACATATTGTAAATGACGATCAATACAGTTAGTTAAAACAGAAGTATAAATGGAACACTAAATCAGATAAGAAAATAACAGCACTCTACCTATTGCTGAACTGTGAGTTGACATTACAGATGTTGGGTATGTTGGTGTGGGCAGCAGAGCTGGAGAAAAGGAAGTTAAAAAACAAAGTAAAGAAGATACCAGTTGAATTGTTACTGCATTCAAATTAAAAATGTTACCCTTCAAAGACAATATATAACTGCACAAACTCAATTGTTTTTAATTACTGCACTACCTTTTCTTCAAAACCTGATGTCATTGATTAAGAAATTCAGAGTCAAGTCCCCAAGTGATTAATTAAATTATGGATTGAATAGCAGGTCAACAAAACTGGCACGTTCCCCAAGACCTTTCAGTTTAATGGTCACTTTTTAAATGTATTTTGTATCATTTTGTTGGTTGATTTATTAGTTCCAGTTGCTGAAAATACATGGACATTTAATAGTTAGTCATGAAATTGGAGCCTAGTTGATGCAGTAAAGGAATAGATTACATGTGCTAAGAATGTTCAGCAATTCCATCATCATGTGACAGAAAGGAATAGTTACCAAATCAATAGAAAAATATTTTTGTGCAGTCCCTTGATGCTGACCTCGTATTGGAGTCATGTTTGTTGAAGCTAAAGCTAATTAACGATCTGCAAATATGAATCTTAAATTATGAACCAATACATATTCCTTCAAAGATTAGAAAACCAAACAGGATATTGTTGAAGATATATATTCCACAAAACTAAATAATTAATCATTTGAACAATAGTAGACTTTTTACTTCTAAATCCTAATCATACAAATATCAAAGACAACATGGTACAGATGGCATTATTCATCCTTAGTTTGGTTTCAAAATTTAGGATTGTGTTCAGCTAGGAGAGCATACAAACTCTACAATTTAACCCTTATTCCAATATAACAACATGTCCCTGTTAGAGTGAAAGGAAAAGCTGGCAAGTTTAGGGAACCCTGGCTGACGAGGGATATTGAGGTCATGGTCAGGAGAAAAAAAGAAGGCATACATTGGGTTTAAGTTATCAGGCTCAAGTGTAGGAGCATTCTCAAGAGGGAAATCAGAACAGCAAAAAGAGGGTATGAGAGGGATCTAGCAGATAAGGTTAATGGTAATCCCAGAAGGTTCTATAGCAATATTAAGAGTAAAAGGGTGGCTAGGGACAGAATAGGTTCCCTTAAAGGCAAGTTATTGGAGAGGATACTAAGGAACAGGATCAACCAGCATTTAGATAGTCACGGTCTGATTAGGGATAGTCAGCATGGATTTGTGCGTGGGAAATCATGTCTGACAAATGTTTTAGAGTTTTTTGATGAAGCAACCAAGAGAAGAGATGCGGGTAGAGCAGTGGATTTTGCCTATGTAGACTTTAGCTGATCTTTATGTGTGGAGCCACAGGAGATGGGAAAGATTTTTAATGAATATTTCTCCACAATGTTTACTGAGGAGAGAATCATGGATGTGAAGGAAATAAAGGAAACAAGTGGGGATGTTTTGGACCGCATACATGTTACCAGAGGGGAGGTGTTTACAGCCTTAAAGAGTATTAAGGTGGATAAATCTCCTCGCCCCGATCAAGTCCATCCTTGGGTGTTGTGACAGACTAGGGAAGAAACTGCAGAGGCCCTTGCAGAGATTTTTTGCTTCATCTTTGGCCACTGGTGAAGTTCCAGAAGACTGGAAGGTGGCTAATGTTATTCCATTGTTTAAGAAAGGTAGCAAAGACAAGCCAGGGAACTATAGGCCAGTGAGCCTGACATCAGTGGTAGGCAAGTTATTGGAGAGGATACTAAGGGACAGGATCAACCAGCATTTAGATAGTCACGGTCTGATTAGGGATAGTCAGCATGGATTTGTGCGTGGGAAATCATGTCTGACAAATGTTTTAGAGTTTTTTGACAAAGCAACCAAGAGAAGAGATGAGGGTAGAGCAGTGGATGTTGCCTATATAGACTTTAGCAAGGCCTTTGACAAGGACCTGCATGACAGGCTAGCCATGAAGGTTACAGTGCATGGGATCCAGGGAGAGCTAGCTAATTGGATTCAAATTGACTCGATGGTAGGAAGCAGAGGGTGATTATTGAAGGCTGTTTCTCGGACTGGAGCCCTGTGACTAGTCGTGTGCCACAGGTGTTGGTGCTGGGACCTTTGTTATTTGTTATTTACATAAATGATCTGGATGTGCATGTACAAGGCACGATTAGTAAGTTTGCAGATGATACAAAATTAGGAGGTATCGTTGATAGCGAGAAAGGTTTTCAAAAATTACAGCGGGATCTTGATCAGATGGGGAGCTAGGCTGAGGATTGGCAAATGCAATTCAATACAGATAAATGTGAGGTATTGCATTTTGGAAAGTCAAATCGAGATAGGACTTATACAGTAAATCGTAAGGTCCTGAGGAGTGTTGTAGAACAGAGGGACCTAGGAGTACAAGTTCATAGTTTGTTGAAAGCGGCGTCACAGGTGGACAGGGTGGCGAAGAAGGCATTTAGCATGCTAGCCTTCATCAGTCAAGGCATTAAGTATAGGAGTTTGAATGTTATGTTACAGTTGTATAAGTCGTTGGTGAGGCCGCACTTGGAATACTGTGTACAGTTTTGGTCACCTTGTTATAGGAAAGACATAGTTAAACTGGAAAGTGTGCAAAGAAGATTTACGAGCATGTTTCCAGGACTAGTAGGCTTGAGTTATAGGGAGAGGTTGGCCAGGATAGGACTTTATTCATTGGAACGTAGGGGAATGAGGGGTGACTTTATTGAGATGTATAAAATCATGAGGGGCATAGATAGGATGAATGCATATAGTCTTTTTCCTGGGCATAGGGAATTGAAAACTAGAGGACATAGGTTTAAGGTGAAAGGGGAAAGGTTTAAGAAGGACCTGAGAGGCAACTTCTTCACGCAGAGAGTGGTGCGAATATGGAATAGGCTGCCAGAGAAAGTGGTTGAGGCAGGTACAATAGCAACATTTATAAAACATTTGGATAGGTACATGAATGGGAAGGGTAGAGGGATATGGACCAAATGTGGGCAATTAGGAACTAGCTGAGAGGGCTCCATGGTCAGCACAGATCAGTTTGGGCCAAAGGACCTGTTTCAATGCTGTACTACTCTATGACTCTATTCCATCAGATTACTAAACCGCTCACATTGAGGAAGACTGCAAGATCTGGTAATGAAGAATTTTCAGACATCGACAGCATGACCCAAATATGGAGGTTGCTGAGTTATAAACTTAATTGCGAAAATTATGATCTGACAGTATAGGGTGGAATTTAGTAGAGACGTGGAACAAAACAAAATTGCTGGAAAAGCTCAGCGGGTCTGGCAGCATCTGTGAAGGAAAAAACAGAGTTAACGTTTCGGGTCCGGTGACCCTTCCTCAGAACAACAGTTGTTGTTGTTGTTGTTAATAGAGACGTGGGCCTGTCCAGAGTGGAGAGCCTGTAATAATTTCTTATGTAGTGCTGAGATAGTAGGAACTGCAGATGCTGGAGAATCTGAGATAA